AAAAAAAAAAAAAAAAAAAAAGGAAAAGCAAAGGAAATATTTGTGGAATAAACCAATGAACTTGGAAACCTTTGAGCCACCATCTTATAAATTATCAAAAAATAAACAAGAAGGGTAGAATAATGAGTATTGGTATGTCTATATTTTACAGGAAGCTCAAAAATTCAATATAACTCATGCCTGTAATCCCAGCACGTTGGGAGGCCGAAAAGGGAGGATCACTTGAGGGCAGGAGTTCAAGAGCAGCCTGGGCAACACAGTAAGACCCAGACTCTACAAAAAGTAAAAAATTAGCTGGGCCTGGTGACACGCACCTGTGGTCCCAGCTACTTGGGGCAGGCTGAAGAGGGAGGATCAGTTGAGCCCAGGAGTTCGAAGCTGTGGTGAGCTGTGATTGCATCATTGCACTCCAGCCAGGGCAAGAGAGCAAGACTCTATCTCTTAAAAAAGAAGGAAGAGGAAAGGAAAGAGGATGGGAGGAAGGAGGAAGGAAGGGAGGAGGGAGAGAGGAACAGAGGAAGGAAGGAAGGAAGGAAGGAAGGAAGGAAGGAAGGAAGGAAGGGGAGAGAAAGAGAAGCAGAAATAGAAGCAGAAGGAGGAGGGGGAGGAGGGGAGAGAAGAAGAGGGGAGGAGGAGGAGGAAGAGGAAGAAGAAATAGAAATACCAGGACAGTGAAGCCAGGGTGACACTGTGTCGACACAGAAATCCAAAGGCAGAGGAATGAGTCTCCTTACAGTTCTTCCTCCCTGCTCCACTCTGTGCCAGAATGACCCAACTTCAAGAGAACTAACTAACCTGAGCACTGATAAGTCAGGGACTCACAGCACTGGTAGGGGAGGACGGAGGAAAGGCAGGGGCTCCCCTTGCACCCTCCTCCAAGAATGCGCGCCCAGCCCCCAGGACGACTCACCCGCACCAGCCGGGCCCTCTTCACCAGGTCGTTGAGCTTGCGCAAGGCGGCGTGCCGGGGCAGGCCCTGGATGTCGCGAAAGAGGTCCTGCTCCTCCAGCTCAAAGAGGCGCCGATTGTCGGGCACCAGGAGAGGCTGGGACCAGAAGGAGCCGATGTAGACACGCAACACCTCAGGCGTGCCCACCACCTTGCCCAGCGCCCACATGAGCGCGCCGTAGACGCGCATCAGCTGCTGCGTCTCCACCATGTCGGCCTTGTTGAGCACTACGCGGATCTTGTCCTCATGGCCCCGCAGCGCGCCGATGGCCTCCGAGAACTCGTCCGAGATCTCCAACTTGTGCGCGTCGAAGAGCAGGATGATGAGGTCCACGCGCTCCGCGAACCAGCGCAGCACGGCCGGGAAGTCGTAGCCTGGAGTGGGAGTGGAGAGACAGGGGCGCAAGGGGCAGAAGTCAGACCCCCACCCTCCAGCCATTCAGTAGCATCCATTCTCTTGCATATTGGACTGTAAAGATGTTCACATTGTTGGCTGTCCAAATCCTGTCTAGGCAAAATAGCCAAGGTCCTCAGTGGGTACCACTGCTTTGGTTCCCCAGTCCCCAGAATTTCCCCCCTCACCCTGGTCCCAGCCCCTCAAGTCCTCAAGCCATCTGGTTACAGGGGTAATCATCCCCCTTTTCCTTTGCTGGAGTGCAATGGCGGGATCATGCCTCCCTGAAACCTCTGCTTCCCGGAGCTCAGGCAATCCTCCCACCTCAGCCTCCCTAGTAGCTGGGACCGCAGGCGGCCGTCACCACACGTGGCTAATTTTTTTTTTTTTTTTTTGTAGAGATGGGGTCTCACTATGTTACCCGGGCTGGTCTCATACTCCTGAGCTCAAGTGATCCTCTTGCCTCAGCCTCCCAAAATGTTGGGATCACAGGAGACAGCCACCGTGCACAGCCTCCAGGCCTCCATTTTTTCATTCGTTCATTCATTAACCAGTTATTAGTGGTGTGCTTTGTAGGTGTGCATGTATAGGTTGTTAAAAATACTGACATGAGGCCGGGCGCAGTGGCTCACGCCTGTAATCCCAGCACTTTGGGAGGCCGAGGTGGGCGGATCACAAGGTCAGGAGATCCCAGCTAACATGGTGAAACCCTGTCTCTACTAAAAATACAAAAAATTAGCTGGGTGTGGTGGCGGG